ATGCATTGTGGTGACTGAACAGCAATAATATACTGTCTAACTCTAGAGTTAAAAGCACTGACACAAAGCCCAGACSCATGATCTTCAGAACAATATGCTGTACTAACCTAAGGAACTGACTAGTCTTCAAAACACGCAGCAGCATTTCATAACAAGACGATGTTCATCATAAGACAGACATTTTAACATGAAGTGTAATTAATTCATATTAAGACAGATTAAATCCTTTATTTCAAAAAATTCTATGGCTAGTTTCCTTTAAGTCATATCCACTTATGGCAAAATAATCAAACTAATCACAGAAATCTTCTGAAGTAGCTATTTCCAGAAACAAGCAATTAGGCACTTTTGAAATGAGTTTTGGATGTGATTCTAATATAAAATTAGATAAAGTCTTCATTGATAATCTTGGCMTAAAGCAGAGTGGCAGTTAGTCTGCAGTCTGAAAAGACTTTGCAGTTGCCACTGAGGTGATCAGTTATTTTGACATGCAAAGGAGGTGTATTAGGTACGCATCCTCTGGAGAAGGACCTACACAGATGGCMCAGACAGGTAAAGACTCCTGGGCTTCCTGGGCTAAGTGTAATTCTACTTCCAGGTCCAATAATGGGCTCTTTGTTAATCAGTAACAACCATGCTAACACAGTTAAAGATGGCCTGTGTGGTTAAACTTCAGGCTTTCTGGAGAAATTATTATGGAGGAAAAATAAATTATATGGGATATGTAAAAATGTCTTGATCTAACAGAACTTAGGGGGCCTGGAATGGGATTTGGAGATGAATTTGGTCCACAGTCTATCTCAGTAGCACCTCTCCATTCAGGGGCCAACAGGATGCCTTGTCACCAAGCAGTACTCCTCCAAAATACCCAACTTACAGCTCGGGCAAAAGATGGTCTGAGCTSTTTGTGCTATCTGCCTACAGGATAAGCACAGCTGAGCTATCTGAACTAAAACACACTATACAGCCAGGAAAACCACAGGATCATACCAAGTCCACTTTTTCTGATGCTAAATAAATATGAATTTCCAGAAGATTCAAACCAGTTATCTCTTGATATACACTTTTTTTTTTTTCCAAGSGTAAAAGATAGCAGTAGTACAAATATAAAAGGACAGAAAGTCTTCGTTTTTTTAATAATGGCATCTAAACATTCATTGAATTGCTCCCTCCTTCCTTTAGAAAGGGCAATATAAGAAAGCACTGATGATTTATGGAAGAATGGTATAGGCACCGCACCTTCTTTTGTTTCCCAGGATGGGGTGGGTAAGCTACCTTGTTGTCATCATGATGCCTTGCACTGAASACCACACATTTAACATTCATCTGAGCTTATTGCTCAGATAAGCAGCACTGAATGTCTTGCCTTTAAAGAAGGCTAAAAGACAGTTTTCCCAATTGAATACACACAGGTGGCTTTCTGCATTAAAACAAAAAATGTATTTTGTCAGAAAAATGAGCAACAAGGTGTATAATATCTGTTAAACCATGCATAAAAATGTCAGTTTTCTGTTTTATAAYTATAACATCCATTTCATGAAAATCAAATTAATTAAGAGAATCAGTATTATGCATATCAATAGCAGATTCCTTATTTTATTCTTAAGATAAAGGCCTTTGAAATTTTTTGTTTTGCTTAAAAAAAAAAAAAACTAATTACACAGTATTTTTTTTCTGCCTGGAATAAACATTTGGATTCTAAAATATAACCCCTCTCTTAAATCATGTGATAATTTCACTTGCTTACATTTCTTGTGCCATGCAGTAGAATTACCTATGTTCCATTTTCTGTGATTAAACATTTCCTAAAAGGCAATATTTGGAAACAGTGCAAGCTAGATGTGTCTCACAGGCGAGGTGGAAGGAGAGGAATGGTCCTGAAAATTTCAGGTGGTGACAGTATTAGAAAATTTCTTTACTTTTTAATTCTTTGCAGTGATTTTTAAAGTTTACTTATGAACACTCATTTGGGAGCCAAACTGTCCTGAATTATTGTAAACTAAAGCAAGAATAGTTGGATGCTGTATTTTACTCAGCTTCTTCATCACCTGCCGTATTCGATGGAAGCAAAGAGAATTCAGGAATCCCAGAAATGCCTCTTAAGGATGAACACAGAATGCTACACAATGTTTTCTCCCTATTTAATTCTTCTGAAAAGGCAGGAGGTAGCGAGATACCTACTCAACATGTTCCTGTTAAATATTAATTTCATGCTGACTTATCTAAGGAATGACTATATATTTAATAACCCTCTGATCCACAGTGCTTCTGATCCAAGATGAAAGACCAGCACCATGATAATAAATAGCAGTACTCTCCTGCTGATGAAAATAGACCAGCCTGATCAAGACTAAGTTCTAGTCCTGCCTACACTCTGCAGCTGGAAGATCATTGTTCAGCCACCACATGAAGGTGGGGTAGAGTAGTGTGACCCTGGCTCCTGGGGCCAGGACTGGGAGGTTTCCAAGGACTGGGAAGCAGCAGCGCATGAGTCTCTGGAGTTGCCTGCCAAGGCAGGGGTTTATCTCGGGTTCTTTGAAAATTTGTTGAAAGCGAGAAAATGTGCAGACAATGCTCCAGGTTCAAAGTATTGACGTTGTGAGTGCACCAGCAAACACTGATGTAACTCTGGAGAAGGGATTAGACTGTTGTAGAAGTGTAAATAAGTACATTGTGTTTTTGAATCCAGAGTAAGGGGACAAGTAGTGAAAAACAAACAAACAAAAATCAGTTACAGCTACAAATATTTCACTTTTATACCAGGTTATTTCAGAAAAATTTCTTGAATTTATTCTTATTCTTATTCTTATTCTTATTCTTATTCTTATTCTTATTCTTATTCTTATTCTTATTCTTACTCTTTTCCAACCTCAATCACTGCATTTGTGGGTTTTTTTTTCATTATTATTTTATCACAGGAATGAAATAAAAAAAAAAATCTCTGACATAGATTTGCTCTTTATCTGCTGTTAAAAAATCAGCAAGTGCTTGTGAAACATATTCCAAAATATTTTTGCCAGGATATTTGTTTCAGTGGATTTTTTTTTTCATAGAAGTTTTCTTAARGATGATAAATGGGGAAAGGTAAGGGTAATGAAGGGGTAATGAAGAATTTCAACAAAAATTCGCACTCCTGTTTTCATCTGAAAAGGCTTGGTKTAATTTACTAAATATTAAAAGAAATTGTCTATAAACCTTACAAAAGTTTTATCTGGAAACTCCCCAGCTCCTAAGTGTCTGCCTATCATCAGCTCTAAAAATAAATAGAAAAGGAGCATGAGAAAATTAAGCAATGMGAAGGCTGTGACACATGTGGACATATGCAGTTGAATTTGGGGAAAATTGTAGCCAAAAACCTTCTTCTGTTATTTATTTCAATCTAGGAAGAAGATGTATGATCAATAGCACTTATTTAATTCTACCATGCTGCTCAGGGAGGCAGTGTCCTTGAGCAAGTGCTCAGCCATGAGGAAGCTCTTTTCCTCATAGCTGCAATTTGCACAAACTGAAGCTCTTGCTTCCTCCTTTCCCTCAGAAACAGGAATGCAAAATTATTGAAGTTTCTCATGAAGCAACAATAATCTGTTGTTCATTTTCATTCAGGAGGACACATCACATAGTGCAGTCAGTGTGACTACTATTGAAGAATATAATTCCAGCTTACTTTAACCTAAACTGTCACAAGGCTGAAGAAAATATTTACTGAAAATATCTCAGGCCTGACAATTTTTTCGCATTTTACTATGTCATAAATATCTTGTAACTCCCTTTAAAACATCACTGACTAGACMTAATACCAGGAGTTTCTGAAAGTGTACCAGAAGTTCTGTTAAGTGTAGGCTTAATGTTAAAGCTCAGGGAAAGTATCCATATGTTGAAAATTGGAGTTAAAGAGGACTTCATATAGCCCAGTAAATTGAATTTAAACAATAGCCAAGTCAGCGTACAATGGAATTGATTCAGCTGTAAAATAACCCAGAATCTCCCCACCATGTTAATTTTCAGGCTTATCAGGATCAGAGCTCTCATATCTGCACAAGGGATTGCACAAGTGGAAGAGGCTGGGTGCTGGGGTCAGGGCAGGACTGTCCTTCTTCATAGCTGCTTAGAGGAAACTCAGAGTGAGTTGGCAGTCTAGCCATGTCCTCAGCTCACATACCTGCTGCTTAAATCTATTTGAAGGGCGCTCTCCCAAAGCAAAAAATGTAAAATGTGCGGGGCTCTGCCTTTGACATAGCAGCCCTTTTATAGTCCCTGGAGACTGCAGTTCCCACCAGCATCCCTGGGCACTCGCATATCCAAGGCTGAGCATGATTACACTGCACTTCTAACATTATTACTTTCACAGAGCAAGCCTATCACAAGGTTTCACAGGCTTTTGTATTTATTTTGCTGTGGGAAGGAAAAAAAAAAAAAAAGATGATCACTGAAGAGTATGAGATCCATTAAAAACTCAGTATCCTGCTACAGTGATTGCGGTTTGGTGTTTTTTTTTTTTTTTTTTTTTTTTTTTTTTTTTTTGGACGGGGACACATTTGCAGCAGCTGTCTTTATCAGATGTTAACTTCATAGCCTTTTCCATAGCCCATGAATGCCAAGTATTTATCTGCAGGAAAGTGGGTAACTACCAGAATAGCTAATACCTGGTACAAGAACTATTCTGAAGTAAAAACTTAGAAGACCTGATCTCTGACCTGTGAGTCAGTTTTGTTGCTCTGTATCCATAGATTTCTTGGGAGACAGAAGATATCTATGATGATGGAAGGAATAAGCTGTTGGTTGGAGACTGTCCTTTTCACTCCTGGTGGCCTTTACCAAACAGAGTGCTCCAAAGCAATACTGTGTGAAAAATCTCTCTCTTTTGTTTTCYGTTACTTATCTGCCCTTAGCCAAACTCACCTAAAAATCTGCATTACTCCTGGTGATGAAACATCCATTATCTCACATCTTGAAGACAGGAAGAACAAAATTGGAACACTTAGAAAATGTCCTCTGTAACATGGCAAAACTCACACATTTAAAAATTGTAAACATATTTCAGTTCACATTTATTGACATGTTACTGCTTTCACATTCATGTGGTGCAAGATACTGTTCATTTCAGATGGGGCCACAACATACCCCAGTAAACTCTTCATATATTTTACACTATGAATTAATACTGTACTCAGAACATTAATAAATAATTGAAAAGTCTGTAAATAACCTACAGTAAGCTCCTTTGTAAAATTATTTATCTTATTTAAGTGGATTTATTTTGACATCAAAATAAATTATACTATGAACTGTAGATGCAGCCATTCAGCCATTTTATGTGTCCCTTGTATGGTCTTCACTACTGCTGCATGTCTGCCCAAGTTCGGGATTGAGCAGAAACTGATGAAGAAACTCCAGGTCCAAAAAGGATTTGATCTTTTGATGCTCTCTTCACTTCCATTGAAGTCAGCGGGTCTTGAAGGGACTCAGGGAGCTCCTGTAGTGCTCTGGGAGCTCCAGTAGTGAGTTCCAGGGAGCTCCCATTGTGAGGTACAAAATGATCTGCTGATCCAGACACCCCTCAGCCCATGATGAAAAATGGGACACTTCAGTCTCCTCTGAGATTTCTGAACACAGATTTCCTTCGTGCATGCGTGTGCTACTCCCCAACTCAACAGAGCTGGAGGAGAGATTCACACCAGGCATGTCCTGTTCTAGTCCCCGTCTATGAACTTTAGACATAGCCTTCATGGCAGGCGTGGTTGCCATTGATAAGGCTGAAGGTAGCCAGGGAATGATTGGTGCTCTTAAGGGAGGTCATGCGCGTGGTGCTCCTGGCCATGCTCTGAGAGCGGATGAGGAGACGAGCTCTGCAGCAGAAGAGCTGATTGTTGAACTGTTTTCTAAAACTCTTGCTGAGCAAGTAGAGAGCAAATGGGTTGACACAAGAGTTAGTGAAGGCCAGGATTCGAGCACAGATACTGGCAATGAAATGCAGCACTGAGGTGTCCACCTCTGAGTAGTGGTAGGATCGGTATAAATAGATGATGTGAGTAGGAAGCCAGCAGAAGGCAAAGAGGCACACAAAGACCAGTACTGTCTTGGCCAGGCGCTTACGAGATTCAATCTGCAACAACAAAAGGAAATGCAACAAAAAGAGATTAGCAACTCTCTTTGAYGGTAGCTGACTTTTCCCCTCTGCTGTGCGGTAACTTAGGGGCTAATGTGTGAAAGGTGGCACATGGACAGCTGGGGATCTGGACTGCAGGTGGACAGAGTTAAGATCCTTCCTTGTCTCACCTCACCCAYTCGTCTCCTAAAAACAAATGATTTTGCAAATTCATTAAACAGTGAAATACAATCTTTCTTTTCCTGTTCAGAGATAAACTTCCAMTAACTTGTCATGCAGTAAATCTGTCTCAGGGAACAAAAGTGCGGACACCATAATTAATTATCTCCTGGATTTGGAGCCTGGGTTATTTCACAGAACCCAGAGGCAGGACCTTATGTTTTGGGGGCATGTGGTATATGTACATAAATGTGCTGCCAACTGCTCATKACCTACAGAGACCAAGTGCAACACCTGTAAGCCAAGGTAAGCCAAGGTAATTGGAGAAACCAAAAGAGAAAATTCTGTTTTTAGAGAAACAAGGCAGTTCAGAAGTGTACTCYGAAGCTGAAGATCTGGCACCAAAAAGAGTAGAGGATGAACAGGTGAATAGGTAGATGAGCACATCCTCTAGCAAAATCTGAGTTATGTTAGAAGATGTGCTTTTATAACGTCAGCTACTATGCAATAAAATCTTCGCACAGACAAGGCACCCTTTTGTCTTCTTTAGATATAAAGGGCTTGGAGTCAACCCAAATGTATTGCTCAACTGTAGTGAGCCGAAATAAACCACACTTTCCTTTTCTTTCCACCAGCATTGTACACACTTAGGTAACTGAAAAACACATTTTTCTTCCCAGTAAAGACATAAAATATGCAAGAGGTCATGCATAAAAAAGATGGACTGAGTTGTTCAGAGAAACCTACTGAAATAACCTGAACCCTAGGTGAGTTGCACAGCCAGAAGTCTGCAGACACAAGAAGTGTAATACCTTGTTACTTCCTTCTCTCAGATAATTCCCATACCTCTTCCCAGGCTCCTGTGTGTAATTTGTTGTCGTCAGCTCCCTGTATTTCTGTGTGATCTCAGTGACCTGAAACTCCACATGGTTCTTAGAGCCCCTGCCCTTACTCCAGCATCCAAGCAGCTGTGGTGCCTGATCCCAAGCAGGCCAAGAGCTGAGTTATGGCCAAGTCAAAACAGATCAAAGAGCAGCATGGATGGGAAGGGCTAATGCAGGAGGTGATCAAAGTTTTCATTTCACTTTTTTTCTTCCTGAAAGTAGGGGACTTCCTGATTAAAAGTCAGAAGATGAAGTCTCAAAAATCTGAAACTTCCAGAAAATCTTTTTTGCAGAATTTCCTCCTCTTTTTAATATACTACTCTTCAGCCACATGTATTGTTTTGCTGGTATTGTGCCAACTCAGGACAAACTTTGTACTTTCTGTGTAGCTCTGATAATCCTGCTGAGCATTTTTTTATTATTCACCTGAAAGATTACATATCCCACCTCCCAAAGTTGAGTGAAGCAGAAATTGAGCAGCTCACATAACCTSATCTTTGCTCAGGGCAACAGTAACCAGAGAACAAGCAGGAGAGACATGGCAAGCCCATTTTGACTTTATTTTGTGCCCCTTTAATAGCACCAACTGAAAATTAGCCATTGAGCTCTGAAAGAATTGATATGTACCAGATGATAATGTCTCCAGAGAGCGGTCTGAAAATTAAATCCTTTGAGAAAGGGCTCTCCATGGCTGAACCATATATYCTTTTTAAATGTATCCTTAATTTGATACAGGGCTACTGAAACCACATCTGCACTATAAAGAAAGGAAACAACACACTAAAGAAATCAATATCAGTTACCTCTGATGGAGATCTAAAGCTCTTGAATGTGCTGCAGGACTGGATGATGGACTGATGGTGCTAGACTGCAGTCTGTGCCTTTGCTTTCTTTAGAGTTCTCTCCCCAAAACCAGTGGGAGAAAAAGGCTTCTTTTACTACTCTCTTTACTGTCTGTAATCAAAAGTCATTGAATCAGCAGAAAAAAAAAAATGACTTGCAGGGGAAAAAAAATGTATGTGCATTCAGAAAGGAAAAGGATAAGCATTTCATGGGTTGCACATTGTTTAATGGGCAGAAAACATGGTTTTCCACCTCTGCTTTTTCACCTTATCACCAGAACACCACATGAGAAGATTGTGTTAGGGCAGCCTAAGGTGGACATGTCAGCTTGCAGCAATTATATGACCATTCACTCTATTGAAGCATGGTTTGTGACAGTTTAGTTTAAGTTGAAGCACTCTTCAGATGAAAGGAAGGGCATATGACAAGGTAAATTTTTTTAGAAACAAGTTGCTACTTTCTTAGTTAGACAAGCCTAAGGTTTAAATTTTAAGCGATGACCTGAGATACCTAGTTGCTCATGCAGAAATTAGATTTCCTCCTGGAGATGACTTTTTTTCCATAGATGCATAGGAGTAGTGAAGAACAAATAACCTCAGAAATCACAGAGTCACAGAAAGCATAAGTTTGGAAGAGACTTATACAGATCACAGAATCACAGAATGATTGAGGTTTGAAGGGACCTCTAGAGATCACCTAGTCCAACCCTCTGCTCCAGCAGGGCCCTTTACAGCAGGCAAGAGAGGATCACATTAAGGCAGATTTTGAATGTGACAACAGGAGAATCCACAACCTATTTGTAAAGCCTGTTCCAGCAGTCTGTCAGACTAACAGTAAAGATGTTATTTCTAATATGCAGATGAAACTTCCTATGTTTCCATTTGTACCTATTACCCTTTGTCATGCTCTTTCTAGTGTCACTACTCCTGAGGTTCTAGGCTTTCTCTCTTTCTCTTAACCCTAGCCCTAAGACTSAGGTCATCAGCCCTAGTTCTGGCTAAGCAGCAAATATGGTCCTAGCACCAGTATGTATATTTGCTACATTTCCTTTGGCATGCACTTTCTAGCCCCATTCCCCATGGGGCTCTAGGCTTTCTCTCTCTCTTAACTCTAAACCTAGCCCTTTGCCCGAGGTCATGGCAAAGATGTCCCTAGCACCAGTCTCGATATAACACTATTTTTCTTTTGGCATGCCCTTCCTAGCCCCTTTCCCCATGGGGCTCTAGACTTTCTCTCTCTCTTAATTCAAATCCTTATCCCTAACCCTAGTCCTAATGAGGTCAGCAGGCTGGCTGCTGGCTAAGCAGCAAAGATGGTCCCAGCCCCAGCCTGGATATCATGCTATATTTCCTTCAGCATGACCTTTCCAACCCACTCCCCATAGGACTCTCTTTCTCTTTCTCATAGGCTTTCTCTTTATCTTAATCCTGATCCCAGACCTAACCTTAATTCTATTCCTAAGACTGAGGGCACCAGGCCTAGAACTTGGCCAACAGCAAAGATGGTTCTAGCCTCAGTCTAGATATAGTGCTAAGTTTCTTCTTTCGTGTCCTTTCTAGCCCCATGGGGCTCTAAACTTTCTTTCTCCCTCAACCCTAAACCTAGCCCTTAGCCTAACCTAGCACTAAGCCTGAGGTTGCCAGGCCTAGAGCTTAGTAAACCACATATGAGATCCTAGCACTAGCTGGGGATAGCACTATATTTCCCTTGGCATGAYCTTTCTAGAACAACTCCCTGGTGTTTCTAGGTTTTCTCCCTCTCTTAACCTTAACCCTAGCCCTAATCCTAAGATTTGTCAGAGGTAAATATGGCCTTAACATGAGTCTGGATATTATGCTACATTTCCTTTGGCCGGCCCTTTCTAACCTCACCAGGCCTAGAGCGTAGTCAACTGCAAAGATGGTCCTAGCACCACTCTGTATATCACGCTCAGTTTCCATTGGCATCCTCTTTCTATCCCCATTCCTCATGGTGATCTAGGCTTTCTCTCCCCATGGTGCTCTAACCCTAACCCAACCCCTAAGCCTTAGATCACCAGGCTGAGAGATTGGTCACTAGCAAACATGGTCCTAGCATCAGACCATCTAAACCATTAGATGACCATTTAGACCATCTAAAATTAAAAACTGAAGCTACCTACTAGCTATTGGACCAGAGGCAGATTAACAGAAATCTGCCTAATTAGGCATATAACAAGTGGCTAATCTTTTCTGTCCAACACTGCTCTTCCCTGGAGACCACAAAAAAAAGAGGCATTTTTAGAGGAAGAATTATGCCTAGTGGATTTCATAAAGACAGAGCTCCCCTTTTCTTCAGAGACTTTATCTTTCATTTCCACCCAGTTAAGACCACATCATCCACAAGACCAGCAATAGCAGCACACCTGTGAGGCCCCCACATGTTTTTTCAGGACAAGAATTTATCCCAGATCCTCTCTCTGACACAGCATTTTGAGAGTATTTTTCTTCTGTTTAACTCCTCGCTTTCTATTTCAAAACATCATTCCTAGCTCTGCCTATTTTTCAGTCAATATCTACCCAATATCAATATCTACTCAGACTTTTGCATGAATTTCTGATGAGTTTTCCATGGTAACCATATTGCYAAAGTTGCTGAACTTAGAAAGACAGGAAGATTTTTTTTAAAAATGTTCGGTGCTGTGACATGATAGAATTGCACTCATTTGTTTTATTCTTTAAGATCATTCAGTCTATTAAAATTAGCACAACAGATCCATACTGTCCTAATAACTGCATACTGTTCCTCTATGCAGTTCAAACTTCTGCACACTCTTAAATCCCCTTAACTTGTTAACTCTTAAGAAGGAATGTAGATTTTTGAGGAAAATAAAATCTGTACCTGTTTCCTCACATGCGTATTTCCTTCCACAGGGATGTTGTAAGCACTCTGGATCAAATTCTTAGCAATGAAATAATAATATACGGAAATGACAGACAGAGGAATGATGTAAAAGATAAGAAATGAGGCCATTGAATGGATTTTGGGATGTAGCCCATCAGAATGCGGGTAAGGAGCACAGCTGACGAAGGTTTTATTAGTGCCTTTGTCATGGAAGGGGTGCAAATCAGAAAACACAGCTTCAGGAATGGCAAGCAATATGGAAACAATCCAGATTATAGCAGCTCTTGCACAAATCTTCATCAGTGCATGGGATGCTTGGATCTCCATTGGTCTTACTATAGCTTTATACCTAAGAAAAGAAGAAAAAAATCATTTACCGACCTCAATACCTACCAGTTGGAATATTTGGGCAATGTATTTGTGCTTGTCATTCACAGATCCCTTCCATTTATAGAAAATATACAAAAATCATTTTATCATGATTTTTTTAATGGTGTTTAAAATTTCAGTTTGATGGATTTGTCATTTCAAAGCAGAACCACTTGACATGAGTTCATTCAATTTCATGTGTATTGATTCTGAATTCATTAAGTTTGTAACTAATCTGACACAGTCCTGCCTTACATTAATATGTATGTGTCCAAATAAGATAAAGATAGGAAGTGTAATCATAGGTTTATCTTAAAAAGTATATGACAATTCACACCCATTCACAGTACACTGTTCAAGGAAACTAGAGTGGTTACTAAATTTGCAGACATTACCACATGTTTCTTTTAGAGCTGTGAGTACACAGACTTCTGCAAAGCCAAATTTTATGTTTTTGGAGGCTACAAATTGCATGTTGACTTCCTTGGAGAAATATATTGCTTTCTATGCTATATATGTAGATGACTTTTTTTTTTTTTTTTGCTATTTTTCTTTTCAGAAAATATTCTCCTGAGATGGGAAATCATGGTAAG